AGGACGATTTGAAAGTACCATATGAATATTTACAGGAGTTTTATACCACCGTGCGATACGCTTATAAAATATCTCTCTTTTTGCAAAGCTTATTGAAGCCTCCTTTGCTTTACAAAAAATTATAGTCCAATCATTCTCTGATGTTTGTATATGTAAAGTATTCATCCACTTCCTCTGAAAAGTTGCCATTTCTCCTCCATATTTTTTCTGAATTAAATAATATACTGGAGAGAGAGCCTCTTGTATATTTCTTTATAACACATAACCTTTCAAAGGGTGTTGGATCTCTGTATTTCTTTTGAGACATAACATTTTCTTCAGAAATCCAATTAATTATGCACATCTAATAGTGTCTAATAATGAATGGCGTTGTTTACCCTCCTGTAGTGGTTAAAACATTTTTTCCTACCATAATAGAGAAAATTATAGGATTTATGTAATCTAAAAGACTTTTGATTATATTTGCTCCCAGATCCTCCCCCCCCTGCCAAAGTATATAAAGGAGATATTCCTGTTGGTAATTGACATATATTTTTGTATTGTCGCCATTATATATATATCTATATATATTGAAAATGACCGCACTCCAAGGACTTTATTAAAGTAGTAATAAAATGTAACTTTTAATTTATGACATTAAAAAATATCAACGTTTCAGCCCCAGTACATGGGCTTTCATCAGGATGGCAATAATGATGAAAGTCCATATACTGGGGCTGAAGCGTTGATATTTTTTAATGTCATAAATTAAAAGTTATATTTTATTACTACTTTAATGAAGTCCTGGGAGTGCTGTCATTTTCAACCTTTTTTGTATTTTGTGCCTGACCAGCACCGGGCATCCATATTCTAAATCCAGGAGTGCAAGCATTTCATATTTTATATATATATATATATATATATATATATATATATATATATATATATATATATATATATATATATATATATATATATATATATATATATATATATATATATATATATAAAATTATATTACCAATCGAGGAATGGGGGTTGGGCAATAATTATTTTTTTATAGTACATGTTTGCTATGGCAATGTATGCAGCAGGACGGAAACAAATCTATTTTCCACTGCAGCCCATGGTTTCATTTTTTTTATATCCGTCCACTCACGCACTATTAAACAAAATAGCTAGATAATATCTAGAGATGTGAAGCATACCCACTCCACATCTATCCATACTTTTAGTCAATATTTCATATGATATGTATGCTTACTTATTACTCCAAATGAAGGAGAGAAACAAGCACTTAACTTTATGAAAAAATTAATTTAAAAATTGATATAGGAATAACCTGAAACAAATATAGTAGTTTTGGCAGAATCATCATTTTCAAAATGGTTACCCTGCCAAAAAAAGGAAAAACATGGTAAATTCCAATTATTAGGGCAGACCTTAATTTTCTCAAGTATAGGAGAATAATTAAATTTATAAAGATTACCTATCTTCTCTGTCAGTTTTACTCCCAAGTATTTTATCTTCCCATCAGCCCACTTATACCCAAATCTGTGTTGTAAATGTTGTTTTGCTTTAGACCCAATATTTTGCATTCATCAACATTAATTTAAAAATTAGAACGTGAACTAAATATTTCTATTTCCTTAGTGGCCTCAGTTAATGATCTACACGGGTTAGTGATGGAGAGAAGAACATCATCTACAAAAGCAGTAACCTTAATCTCTACTCCCACCACTGGAAACCCTTTTATTGATGGACTCATTCTTAATGCATTCAGAAAGGGCTCAAAAACTAAAACAAAAAGTAGCAGAGACAAGGGACATCCTTGTCTAGTTCTATTTCTTATTGGAATTATTGGATAGTTGCCCATTAGCTCTCACACTAGCTGATGGTCCCCTATAAAGTGTATGAATCCAATTTCAATATCTTGTCCCAAGCCCTAGTACCTCTAATACTAAAAATAGATAGGACCAGTCCACTCTGTCAAACGCCCGTTCAGCGTCGATTGATATGAGCAAAGTTGATTGTTTCAGGATTTTTGCTCTATGAATAATATTAATAAAAGCCCGATTGATCAGAGTGGACTGATCCATCCAAGCAGGACTTGAAACGATTAGCTAGCCGTTTGGAAAATATTTTTAAGTCTATATTTGTCAATTAAATTGGCCTATAATTGTTACATATAGTAGGATCTTTCCCTGTTTTTGGTATCACAGTTATCATTGCTTTCATCATAGAATGTGGCAGAGTGCCATCTAAGGGCAATGCACTGAAGGTCTCCAAGAGGTATTTCCCAAGGAGATCTTCAAATTTCTTATAATATCTTGCTGTCAGTCCATCTGGTCCCGGGCTTTTCTCATATGGCATTATTTTAATAACTCCTTTCAATGCTTCTAACGAGAGTGGGGCCTCTAATACATTCACCTCTTCCACCAATAATTTATTAGTTAAATGTCTTGTTAAATATTTTTTTTCCGTTATCTTCTTAAAAATCAATGTAAATCCGTCAGCACCCGGCAATTTCCCTGCTTTTAATCCCAATATTATGTTTTTCAACTCTCCTAAAGTAAAGTTTTGGTTTAACATCTCCTGTTTCTTTTCCTGGCAATTCACACCTTCGGGAATAACCCTGTTAGAAGCAGACTGCCAATTCAGAGTGAATTCAGAGTGAATTTCAAAGGCCAAAATTCTCCAGTCTACCTATACCTCCAGTTCTGTTACTTTGGCCCAATAATTCAATTTTACCAAATAACCCTGCAAATGTTTCCAGAAAAGGAAAAGTGCTATTTTATTATGACAGAAGAAAAGTTGAGTACCTTTGCTAAGAAGGTTGTTTCTGGTTTTCGCTAATTCCTTGCAGTGAACATAATTTCCAATGTGCAATATGAGGAAAATCTCTATGATCTCAATCATCATCAAGGCAAGAGTGCCAATAAAGAATATCACTGCAGTAGGATAGAGGATGTGAAAAAACATAAAACATATCAGGTACATGCATTCAGACCGTA